CCCTTATTCGCGCTTTTTGTGTTTTTCTTTGTGTGTGCAATGTAAGTTACACTCCTAGGCCTTGAAGTTAGAAGGCGTATAAATAAGTTTAAAAACATCTATGTGTGCCCTAGACTCAATTTTGCATGGATTCATTCCTTTGGCATTCGCTACCCTGATTGTTAACACTCACCTGTTCCAAACAAAACTACGTAAGTATCGAAGTAATTTTCCTTCAGACTGTGGGTGTGATGACGAGTCTTTTGTTGATGTCGTGTCGTGGTGGTCCATTTGGTCTTGGCTTTGCCTCGAAATCGGACCCATACACCTGTATTACAGGAAATGCTAGTGAACTCCGCATTATATACATAACCCTGACTGATCTAGTAATCTAAATCAAGCCATCCCAAGTATAAATCTTCCAAAAGCTTCGTTTTTATTCATGAATGGTTATGAATTATTGCTATCCGTTTCAAAAAACATAATTAGGCTCGTTCCAGTTGTGGTCTGACATAGGTACGTTTTGAAGAAAGCGAGAGAATGATGAATAATTCAGCTGCCCCAAACTGTCTTTTACAGGTATGTGTTCCACAGATTGAATTGACTTCAAGAATTTGGCGCTGATGTCCGTCGACAGCATATATTCGAATTTTGTACCATCTAATCATACATTTCATTAGAGACGAAACAAAAAAAGAAAAACAAAAACTGAAACTGAAAATCAATCAATTTGAAAGAATTGATGAAGCGTTTTTAACTCAAATTCATAAACACCTCAGACAGTTTCCCACAGACGTATAAAATAAAATCTGGCCCAGTGTCACAAGACGGGTTTAAAATTATTTCTTTGACTTGAGGACTTGTCTAGCAAAGGTAACTGTTATGTAACTTGGGAGGTTGCGGCCGGTTAAACTAGGATTATTTCTGTTACACATTCGCACCGGGCTCGTATCCTTTGAGTTCTTGCCTCGGTGGACATGTAAAATGTTGGAACTGTTTTAATCGGGTAAATGACATTCCAGGGGGATGGGAGGTTTATAACCCCCGCCCACCATGTCCGAATTGACTTTTGCGGAGTGGGAGCTCGAGTGAGTGTGTCTCGCCGGGTTGGGTTTTCGTCGAGCAGATGGGTGTGGATCTTCAGCGCTGAGGGCTGTCGAGTTGGGAGACGCTGAGGGCTGCGTGTCAGGCGGGCGTCCCTGTTCCCCTGTGTGGGGGGTGTCTTTCCGCTTGTTGGCGATTAAAGCCCTTTGGTTTTACTTGCGCTGCAAACTCCCGGGAACGCCAGACCTGAAGATAGGTCCGGGTTAAGCCGACGGCCTTGTGAGTAAATTTGACGATATTTATGCTTTGTTTAATCATTGATCTTATACTGTATAATTAGAAGAAAACTGTGTTTCTTGCAGTTTGTGTGAAACCTTTACCGTGGCAAAATTAGCTTAAGATTTTAGGATGCTGTAGCCCTTTCAAAAGTTGAGTAGAGAAAACTCGCTTTCAAACCGCAGTTTAGTACGGTAAATCAAACCTGGGTTCTGGAGGGAAAATTTTAAGGCCAAGATTTTATTAGGGGAAAATGTTGTGCATTACAGGGTGTCCTGTAATTCTCTCCTATGTGTTCTTCTGGCGGGGCAGCTACTCTCCTAGTTCCTAATACGATCCTGATTTTGGCATCGACTTTGGCGAATGTTATCCTCAACCATCACTTACTCTCCGATGGTTGGTGTGTAGGGACCTACCCAAAAAACATAACAAGCCCGGAGACTTCCATCTTGCACTCTAATGGTCCGGTGGATTGTGTCGTTGCTCCAAGATCACCGTTATTTACTTCGTATTTTAAAGAGCGGAGGAATAATTATATTGTATTAATTTTGGTGCGGTGTAATATCTTGAGCCATTTTCAAGCTTAAGGAATATCTCGTAATGTTTTCTCACTGGACCCGTTAAAGCGACCGATAAGGGTGTGTAAATGCTTTAGTTTAGTTCATTTCTTTCTTAAAATAAAAAATTTGTTTTATGTGTTACAGATCTTGTGTTCGGTCTTCTGTTCGTCTGATTTATTCCTTGATTTTTAGTTTGACTAGAGCGCCACTAGGGTTCGCTCTGCGACACCCAGCAACGCTCCTGATTGGCTGAAGCCACTGGAAGTCGTGTTGCAGTCATTTTACAGTGCCGAAAGTTTCTAAACTAACCGACGCTTACCTATGAAAGACTGCCATTATTTTTGTCGAAAATATTCAATAATTTCAGTGCACCACATTCAATGACTGCCCAAAGTTTATGGTCATGATTAGTAGGAACTAATTCTTGCAGATGATGTTCAAGTCTATTCGTGTTCACCGAGGAAAGCGTGAATTTAAGTCCAAATTCAGTGAAGGCTGGGTATTAGCGTTGAACAAGTGCTCGTCTAGTTTTTTGTCACCTTATGTGTCAAAATATATTTTTGCAGAACCGACTTCAACAGAAAAGAACCAAAGTCAAGATTTGTTTCGGAATTAAGTTATTGAAGGTTTTTTAGAAGAGGGATTTTCCTTCACCGTACTGAAAGGCAAGGATACTCTTCTGTGAAGCTGCACTGTGCAGCACATTTTGGCAGGACTAACTCCGATTCTAAGGCATGCGTGTTTTGAGACATTGGTGACAAAAAAATCAAATCGACTGGGCATAAGGTGCACATGAACTTTAAAATTGGAGAGAATATCCCTTTTTGCCACGGGAGGCTGCATGAATATGATGTTTTCCAGCCTACATTTTGTTACAGAAAAGTACAATGAAATGCAATAGACAATTCACGAATAATTAATACAAAGCCAGCCAACACAAATACTTTTTCAATTAAAAAAGTTTACCACGCATGAGGTCAGTATTGGGATAGAAAACTTTTGTCTGATACAAATTAATGCCATCAGGTCTGTGCTAAATCGCCATCGATCCTTGTATGTACACAATATAAGGCCATAAGTGCCGCTTTCCTCGATTATTCCAGGGGACCTTGTTCCTACTAATCACTACCGTAACCCTTGGGCACTAATCGAACATGCGCTGAATTCATTGATTTTTTTTTCGACACAAGCATCAAAAATCGTCGCAGTCTTCCACATCGGTTTGCGTTGGTTTGTTCACAAACTTTCCACACGGTAATGACCGCCACTGTCCTTCAGGTAGCTTCAACGATGTCTGCATCACGAATGCTGCATTGTGGGTGCATCGTTTATTACACGTGTCCTGCACTTTCCCTATTCAACAATGCGCAAGATGACCGTACAGTGTATATTCATATTATAATGCCCGCTGAGATTTGATAATGCCCGCTGGGTAAAAATTGCTTCTGCACCTGCATACGAGACAGTTTAAATTTGATCCATCCCCATTGAACAAGAGTCACGCGCGCGTCATGTCCATTTACGCAAATTCTTCTAGACAACCAGCACAAGGAATATAATGGACGGCGGGTGTTCGGGATAATGAAAAAAAATTCTTGAACAAAATCGTGGAAAAATTATCATGCATATTGACTTCTTCTGACTCTCTGACTACAACTTGGAAAGATATTTGTGGATATGAATATTATGTGCTGGGTCCGTCTTAAACAGGCCCGGGAGAGTGAACGCGACTAAATGTCACTCACTAGGCTATTAATCAGAAGTAGATAACTATAGGCCCTAAATTATGTAAAAATGAGATTTTCATTTTTACATTGGAAGATATTCTAAAATCAACCAAAATGTTCTCCGTGGAAGTACGCCGAGCATAATGAACAATTCTACTGGTTAATCAAGGGCTCCTGCGTTTATTAACGGCACATTGCTACAAATTAGATGTATTTATAACGGTTTGCAGAAAACGGTCAAAATTGTGTTTTCGTCAGTCATGCTTCTGTGATCATCTAGAACAGACTCTAGAAGCACAGGTTTTATGTCTGTATTTTTATGCAGCTCAGCTTGAACACAGAGGCTAGATACCGTTTTACATGTGCGTCGATGCTTTAGTATTAACAGGCTTTGGATGCACGTAGCGTTGACCGATATCGCAGATTCGAGGCCAGAATAGAACGCATACGCTGTTCATATACAGTACTGTTACAGAGCCCCACCCGTGCTGAGGCTCACTAGCACTTCAGCACGCTATTACCCTGCACACTCCATGTAGAAACCGCACTGTCCATAATTACATGCATGGCCGTTGAGTCTCACATACCACACAGCGGAAAGGGTTAATCGCTTACCTTTAACGTCTTTCAAGCCGTATCCTTTGTCGTTGTCCACAGTCAGCACAACTTCACCCTTGATGATGTCATTCTGAGAAAACAAATTTGCCTCCCCGTCGAAAATAATCTCTAGTTCCCTTAATTTCCCCATGCCTTGGGTACCTTAAAAACAAACGATAGATTCCTTGGATTGAAATAATACGATGCATCCGAAAGGACGACACTATATTTAAGTGCCGCGCTCGCGAGCTATTTAAAATTGTAGCTTTGAGTTAGATATAATGTATAGAAACATACGGAGAAGTAAAATACGTGGACTTTACATGAAGCATTCCTCGCTGTGTTAAAGGATGCGGTATAAATATTTTTACTGAAAAGGATGGCTCAGTAAATTTCTCTTCAGTACCGTTTTATACGTTAATTTGCAACCCAGACTGTGTACCATAATACGGTTTAATTCAGTATATAAATAAGATCTAATTTTATTTAATTCCGACATTAATATTCAACATGTTTTTACTTCGGGCAATACAGTATTAATAGTTTTCTGAATGTTCCCCCAGTGTTTGCAATAGGTTCTAGGGACCTCAAAATAATGTCCACGCCGTGTAAATTTCTCCGGATTAACACACATGACGCTCAGTGGCTAGCATAATGCGTGATGATATGCGACGTTCGTAGACATTGGTCAAGGCTAAACATGCATCCAAAACATGGGGCCCAGACTTTTCTGTCAAATTGTGAACCAAGAATTTACTCGTGGAAAACAATTTTCAGAAAGGGTGATTACCTGTTTCTTGATTAATGTGTACATATGAACTTTGCCAGAGAATGAGAAAAACGTGGCCGACATAATCTTTTGAAAATGCCAGTGTTTTTTCTTTTCTTTTCTCCTTTTTTTTGGGGGGGTGTGGGCAAAAGAAATTATACATTGAGACACAAATTTTGTTCTTCTATCTCATGTTCTGATATGTTATCATTCAAGGAGTACATCTATTAAATTAAAATTGCCTTTGATTCACAGCCAAGAAACCTCTCTTATGAACAGCTGCCGCAAAACATGAGAGAAATCGGCAGAACCACGAAATACTTCCAAGACCCTTTTCCTGCAATGACAAAATGGTTTCCTAAGCCTTTTATCACATTAAAAGAGCTAGAGATATTGGCGATAAAAGAGGCTGCCATGTGTGAACCTAAAAATAAATTCCTTGCTGCATATCGTGATGCAGTCTTAACAACACGTAGAATAGGCCCTAGGTTTCGGGAGCATGCATCCAATCGCAGAAATCTTCCATGCATCCGGATTGAGCATTTAACACGAGCATTTCACAATAGCACGCCTCCAAGAGTTTAAAACTCTTTGGCCGATCACAAAACGCCAAATCCGTCGACTCAATGTGCATTTGGAAAGGGTCGACAGATTTCGTGCATTGTGCTTGGCCAACGCGTTGCAAACTCTTAAAGGTGCGCTCATTGTGAATAGACTTTATTCATGGTTGAACACTTTGAATTGTACATTGCCAGATTCTGAACATTACTGAAAAGGAGGCTTGGAACGTCTGGTGCCATCCTAATCGACAGTCTGCAATATATAAAACAGATTTGGGGGATAAGATTTTAAAAAAATGAACTGCACATGAATAGGGTCTATAGCCAGTAGCAATAACTACTTCAAGGTAAGTTCAGAGCAGGAATCTGAACTTTGAGCTTTCTGACACGAACTTGTACTATGCCTCCACGTACTTCTGTCACTGGTTCCCTTTAATGAGTACATTCAGTTTTTTACTTTACAAACTTCAGTTAGGCCCATGCGATATGCATGCACCTGTTACTTGCTGAGTAGGGGATTAAGAAATATTTTTTAAAGGGTTAATGGTCAATTCCCAGATGCAATTAGAATGTCATCAACTTACAAAAGAAATCGCAGTTTGCGCTTCCTTTCTTTTTGTCGGTATATTGATTTAACAACGCCATTTTGATGAGAAGCAGGAGACTCTTTAGCCATTCATGATAGCTTTGAAGGATGTTCATTATGCATGGTCCCTGTCTGTTGATAACTTGCCGCGTTTGTGATTGCGCAATAAGTTTAATTTTGATTTGCATTGTATGGTTAAAAATGCCCTTTCGATAGAATTCCATTAAAGCGTTTTATATAACTTATCGAAATATCAATATTTTGTAGACCAGTGGGGAAAAGTCCTTTCCTTTTGATGGGTTTCATTAAGAAGTGTGTTTCAAAGGCAACTACCCCCTCTCCCCCAACGTCCGTACCTCCGGTGCCCATCTTTGAAAAAAATGTGCGTATAGTGATGTCACCTTCAGAAACTTCATCCTGTAGTTCTGATTTTTTGACAATTGCTTTGGGGCTCCAAAGTTCTTTTCAGTTACCGGCATACAATATTCGCAAAGCATTGTAAAATGTACACAATGTAAACTTTTTTATACATGACAAAATAGTCTACACAATACAGTGTTTGGATGTTATGTATGAAGAGTTTTCAGCTGCAGATCAAAAAACAGTATGAAACATTGATTGTAGACCCTTCTTTGGAAAGTCACTACAAAAATAAAGGAAGAATTCATAACTGCTTCAAAAAGTTGTCCCATCTTTATTTTAAATAATTGATATAAGTTACGTTAAGACAAAAGTCTTCACAGTGAACTCAAAATCATTGTCTCTCTACTGTCAAAGTTCTTTACTCATAGCAACAAATGTAGGGACATACCTGAATTTCTTGTCATGTTTTATTGTCATCTTAAAAAGGTGAGGAATGTTTCTTACTCATCGTGGTGCAAAATGCCTTAGAACTAGAGTTTTGCACTCGTGTGCACTTTGAAAGGTCATTTCCCTCCAGCGTAAACCCTTACTTTGGGGTGCCAAAGTGATATTAACACATTCTAAGTTAAACCTTGACATTCAACCTGGCTGCAATATCTTTCTATTCTCAACAAATGTTCACAACTTTTGAAATTAACAGGACTAAGAATCCTTTGTCT